CCATCATAAGCGACTTAATCTCATTAAACTGGTGAACTAAGACTAACCCAAAACATTAAACTGGTGAACTAAGACTAACCCAAAACATTAAACTGGTGAATTAAGACTAACCCAAAACATTAAACTGGTGAACTAAGACTAACCCAAAACATTAAACTGGTGAATTAAGACTAACCCAAAAGATGCCAGTAAGTGGTGTTGACTAGCTCCCTTCTCCCTAATCTATCAGTTTAAATTTAAGGACAGCTAGTACAAATAATCCAACAACAACAAATCACAAATACATAACCAAAAGTGAAGTAACTATTAGTGACAAGTAGACTTTTACAAATAATTGGAACAGAATGATAATGCTAAGCAAGAGTGGAAGATCGCCACGAAACGGCAAGTCCTGTTGATTGGCCCAGTACGGAATACACAAAATAATTTTTTTATATTAATTAATCTGTTACTACCTTTTAAATCGTGTATTGCTTGATTATACTTTCTTGTTGAGGTAATGACGTTTTATGCAACTGTCTTTTTATTGCAATGAAATTCGAGGTTGTCGAAATTTTCTTCGTGATATAAAACCATTTTGAAATGGAGCTTCACAACAACTTTATGTAAAAACTTGGATACATTTTACAGAATGTACTTTCCCGCAAAGAAAACAATTAGATAGGAACTTGAATCAAGACATTATCATCGTATTTATCCAATTCTCAATTAAATATCAGCCGTAACAAAAACATTAAGACAATTTTTTGTTAATTATCAATTTTAACTGAAATGGTATTAATTACCATTTTTATTATTTGCTTAAATTGGCTGCCTGGGTTATTTTGGATAGTGATTTATCCTACATTATACAGTATTTTTTAAAGTGGATACTAAAGCCCATAATATGAATATTTTAACATAATCTTGGTACTTCAAGTTAGATTCATAAGTGTTTATGGCAACGGTAAAATTGACACACAGTAAAAAATGGATCTCATACAAATTTAATAAGATAAAAGAAACCTTGAATGAAAAATTTAGTGTAATGTACAAAAGAAAGGCCGATGTTCATTTAACTAGAAAGGTTTTTAAAAATTTTAATCTTTAGGCTGACCAATGTTAAATACAAGAAATTTAATTTGAAAGTATTACAGACTAGAAGATAAAAATTACACTATATAGAGATACCGAAAAAATGGATTATTTCTAGCTGACTTAAAACTAGTTTCAGCTCACATAAAAATAACCTTTTTTTTTTTTTAAATACACTTTATACACATGCAAGTCAATGCTGGTTATAATAACGAAATGTCAAACTCTGGATCTTCCAACCTATCAACATCTCTATGATCGAGGGAATCAAGATGCTGGTTATAATAAAGAAATGTCAAACTCTGAATCTTCCAACCTATCAACATCTCTATGATCGAAGAAATCAAGATGCTGGTTATAATAAAGAAATGTCAAACTCTGGATCTTCCAACCTATCAACATCTCTGTTATCAAGGGAATCAAGATATGGTACAGATGGTAACGTCATTGATGAGAGAAGGTCCTCGACATCAAGTGTGTCTGGTAATGACAATAAACTGTGCGATGTTAGTGTAAGACTAACAGGTTCTTGCCGAGGCTCTGAAGATGACCCACTAGTTTCTTTAATGCAGAGGTCTTGGTCCAGTTGGGAAGTGTCCTCACCAATAGACTTTTTAAAGGGAGACTTTGACTTCCTTCTTATAGCCATGTTTGAGTCAAAAACTCTCAGTAAATCATGAAGAGAGTTTTGAATGGCTTCAGCTGGACTTAAAATGTCTCCTGTTTTGTGACTGGTATCATTAACCCTTTTGTCTATAAGAAAATAAATTACATTTAAGTATTTATCAGTGTTTATACATTGATTAAATCAATAATTAAATGTCATATATATATTCAGATGGAGCAGCATGGAAAGAAAAAGTTTATTTTAAACAAAGTCTTACATTGATAACAAGTTCTAAATGTTGACACATTTTATTATTTAATTAGAGAAAACAAATTATACAAAATGTCTCCCGTGTTAATTATACTGTTTAGTTATTCAATCACACGTTAGGTTTTTTTACCTATTTGTTTGTAAACAATAAAAAAAACAGTTTGAAATCCGAAAAATAAAGATGCACCTTAGTAGATCTGGAATCAATTGGTGTGTGTACAAGTATTTCTTGCTTTACAATAAACTTAATAAAGCAAAGTTAGATGCTACAAACAGAAGTACAAGAAATTTACTTCTTCATGAAACTGTAGTTAGCCAGTTCAGTCAGTAATAATTAACTTGGAGCAAATTGTCTTGATAAAATACACATTCATACGCAGGGGTTAAAGATCGGGTGATATAAATTTAAAATTATCTATGAAACATGAGGATAGTGTTAAAAATAGCAGTTTCGGAAGTGAATTTGGAAAATTAAACTTGTTTACCGTTTCATTCCTTAAGAATCATTAAAAATAATCTTATCTTTGGTAAAATACAGATTTATTTATATTCACATGTGGAACACTGATGTAGCAACCTATAATACAGTTTAATTAATTCAGAAATACAATCACAGCAACTTTTACAGTTGGCGAGGTCTGGTTTTAATGATTATGTTTTGACCCCTAGTATCGGGTCATTGTCAGGAAAAAGTTACACATAAAAGGCACGATGGGTTGAAATGGTGCAATAATTAAAACCAGAACTTGACAATCGTGAAAATTGTCGTTACTCACTTAGTTCAATAGGGTCCTCACTAAACGTGATTATATATTTACCTTCTGACATTGCTGTAGGTGTTTTGTCCACATAAATCAAGTTCTCTAGACCAGCCTGTTCACTGTTTGGTGTTCGGTAGAGCTTTTCTTTTGATTCAAAAGCCTTTCGTCCTACAGGGAAATAACATTAAAGTGAGTGTGTCTACAAACATTTCTAGGCTTCAAAACTAGAGCAATAACATTGATACATACAGACACACAAACACTTCTAGGCTTCAAAAAATTCACTGTTTACAAACAAAATGTTCTGAACACTTCTAGGCTTCAAAACATTCATTGACAAGCATTAATTTTTCTAGATTCATTTGTCAGCGTAACTAAATTTATTGTCAAGAGTCTTTCAATAAAATAACATTTACTTTTCAACTAAATCTAATAAAATCTTGTCCTGTTATTTGGTTTTCACAAAGACAAAGTACCTGTACCAATTATCAATATAATAACAACCTGTTATTTGGTTTTCACAATGACAAAGTACCTGTACCAATTATCAATATAATAACAACCTGTTATTTGGTTTTCACAATGACAAAGTACCTGTACCAATTATCTATATAACAACAACCTGTTATTTGGTTTTCACAATGACAAAGTACCTGTACCAATTATCTATATAA